GTCCTCCCTTTGGAATTCACCACAAGCATTAACCAAGAGTACAGTAATTCAAACGGATAGACTCCCTTCAACATGATGCATGTACATCAATCATTTAACACAGGAGGACATCTGCTATTGTTTTTCAAGCAGTTGGATATGAAGCCTGCATTGCGATCCCGCAAAGCCCTTCTTCAGCGTCGACATCCCTCTCCATCCTGATATATCCCTTCTCTCCCCACGATGTCCCCCACGAGTTCTTCACCAACCAATACTTCGTCCCATCACTCGCCTTCCCATATCCAACTGCAGTAACGCCGTGATCCAATTCAGTACCGCATTCCCCTGTGAACACCCCGCTCGAGTACAGTTGAAAGTCTGAATCCCCTGCGTCAATTGCAACAGACACTGGCTGGTTCGCCACCGCTTTGAGGAGTGACGCCTCATTGTTGGCAGGCACGTCCTCGTAGCCTGTGATGGTCGCAGCGCTGGTTGAAGCCTTTTTGGAACTGCAGGTGCCATCGGTGGCTGTGTATGGATACTTGGCTTCGGTTGTCAGGCCTTTGTTCTTCATTATGAACTCAAAGGCGTTGTCCATTAAGCCGCCGTTGCATCCTTGGTCCTCGCCGCTGGTGTCGCAGTCAACAAGCTCTTGTTCGGAGAGGGAGATGAGTTTGCCTGTGCTCAGCTTGTGGATTCCTTCTGTTGATGCTACTGCTGAGAATGCCCAACAGCATCCTGCATTCACATGTACATGTCATGAGAACTACTTTCCTATATAACGGGTTAATTGCACATAGGCTGCTTCAGGTATTATTTTTTGCAACTTGTTATCCTTGTAGTTTGATTTTGGCAGACAGAACCCCAAGTAAAATATTTATTTTGACTCTTTTACCGGGGTCTACAAGCCAATAAGCAATTCTTTTATCTGATGGTTAAAAAAACTCCCAAAAAAATCTACTAAGAGGCTTTATTAGCCCAAATCAAACTGTAGGGATATAATCGAGATACAAAGCGTGATACTACAGGGGGCCTATCCGCAATTAACCCTAAATAATATGCACACTATTTGGAAATTTCTATAACTGTGCTCACCGCATTCGCCTTGATTCTTGATAGGGGTTACAGCACCCTTGGTCCTCCAATCCATGCTCGCCGGAGCTGCAGTAAAATTCTCATACTTGAAGCTGCTTCGGTCTGCTGCCTTCGCTGCATTTGACTTCGAAGGCCTGAACCCGTTATAGGAGGCCCTGAACTCCTCGTTTGTCAGATCGGCAAACTGGTTAGCTCCGAGTTTGTACTTGTGCACTCCTGCAGAGTTAAACGCTTCAATGTACTCAACGTTGGCCTTGAATATCTTGAACCTGTGCAACTTTTCTGCTGCGTCCTTGTAGACCCGCCCGTGCTGAGCCATCCATTTCTCGTGCCTGTCAACCATGGACGCTTCACTCAGATCACGAGACGCGGTAGAGACCGAAACCCAAATGCCCAAGATCACCAAAGAGAACAACAGGCACTTGTGTGAAGCCAAAGAAGCCATGGTTAGTTAATCAATATAACCGTTTTGTGATTAAAAACACAAAGATGGCATTGGTTTATATAGAGATAATTTCAGCAGTGCCTGTTGCATCCCTAATATTTCAAATCATTGAGAAAGTGCCGTGAAGTTGTTGCAGGTTCCTTTGGAATGTTTTGAGTGTTGTTGGAGGAAGGATTACGTTTTGTGGGTCTGTGAAGTGCATTCAAACTTTGAATGCTGATGTTTAGATTTTTTTTTTAATATAGTATGTTGAAGCTTCATTTTATGTGTAATGTGCGTTTGTTTAGAGTTGAGTTATTTTGTCAAATTGCGAAACTATAAAAATGGTCAAAAAGAAACAGGACCAATAATTTATACAGGCTAGCTTCTCTATTGGCTGCTTCAATTTGTTGTTTCCAGAGAGGATTTGATACCTAATTAGAGTTCACACCATGGAGAAAGTGATATTTTTGTAGGAAAAGTCTGTACCCGAGATATATTGACACTTAAAAGAATAAATTTCATATATCTGTATGATTTGAGGAGCCAAATAGCAGTTCTAATGATCTGGGGGTGTTGTCTCAAAATATGAAAGACTTGGATGCCTAAAATCGAAATAACTCTAGAAACAAAAGAAATCTTACAACACTCAATTCCAACCAAAAACTAGCATATACACATTATTCAATTTACTTCTCAATTTAGCTAATCCATACCAAGAGTAGTTGATGTTCATTTTTGGTATGATTGTGGGATTTGATGAGTGACTGGGGTGTAATATTAACCTCTAACACATATAAATACTATTACAAGAGCATACTGATGTAATTTAAAGTTTTTCTATATTCGGAATATTTATGTTTCAGATTTCAAGGGTACAGAAAAGAATATGATTACAGCAACATGTATAAAAAGACATATACAAATTAATTAAGGGTTTAAACCCCATTCAATTCTAAAACCCAGTGGGTTTAGGCCGCTCGCCGGCCATCGGAGTGTCCGGCTCCAAATCCACTGCAGGGCCGTCCTCCAGCACCTCCGTCGGGTCCACCGTCGGGTCGTACTGCTTCACAACCAGAACCGACGCCGACGTCGCAAACGAAGTCCCGAGGAAACTCCCGACGTGCCCGAGCTCCGGGCAAATGTCGCTCCGGTGATCCGCAAGCATCATCGTCGGCGCCCCCTGACCGACCAAAATCAAGTTGCACCTCCCAATCCCCTTGATCACGGCCACAATGTCCGCCTTGCCCCCGACCGCCTTCTCCTCGTACTTGATCGACTCGTTTGACGCCACCACCTTCTCTTTAAAGACATTCAGATACTCCTCGTCCTTGGTTCGCTCTTCATCGTTGATCCATATCCCGACACTGCCGGGCCCGGACGAGTCGACTTGCGCGGGGCAGCGGTGAACCGGTAGACGGTGAGCTCGATGCCTGGGGTGGCTCGGATGGCGGCGGCGTACGCCAACGCCTACTCGGTCGTCGGCACCGGCGAAAGAATAAGACGATGATCGGCATAGGAGACCTCGCTTGCGGAAGACTTGCGAGTTCCACCGAGCGCACGGTCGATGAGGATGCCACGGAGGCACGGGGCGTGGCGGATCCACCGCGCTGTTGACGTTCTGATAATCGCGTCCGAATCGCTCCATCGAGCCGTCGATGTTCTTCCTGCTGGGCTTGTGGAAGGGGAGGAGGATCAGCGCGGCGCGCTTGGAGGCGGGCGCTGGGCGACGACATCCTCATGGATGGTGTGCAAGTCGGAGTATGGCGATCATTGGACGGATGACAAACGTGCTTAGCTGTTGATAAGGCTTGGAAGGCAACGATGATCTGTCGGAGTGCGGAGGGCTTCTTGGTGTTGAAGAAGGGGAGGCCGTTGGCGGGCGGGCGGCTTGTGCACCATGGAGATGCGGAGAGGCGCTCGGCAGAGCTCCATGAGGTGCATGGCGTAGACGGTGAGGCCGCGGCGGCGGTTGGTGCGCGGACACGACTCGACGAGTTGATCATGGTTGGAATGTGGCGGCTGCCGTGGAAGCAGGCGAGGCATTCTGGAGCTCGGTGTCGGAGTCGGAGTCGGACCGGCGATGGTTTCGTGGCTTGTAGGAGGCCCGGACGCCGGCCGGCTTGTAGATGGCCATCACGGATTGGGGTGGTCATGAAGGTCGTGAAGAGAGCCATCAGGACTAGGATTGCAAATGTTTCTCGTTGAGAACCTGCGAAAGTGTTATGTCAGTTTCCAGCATTTCACCAGGATAGAGATTCTCTACATTCTTGATTGTAAAGAAGGACATTGTAGTTAACATACTTACGATCTCTGCCGATATTGAGCACAATAAGCTCAACGAGCCCCTTGGTATTCATCAACACGCCCAATGTCACCGCCTCTTTCACGGGAATCTTCACAGCCACCGCCACCCCCACTGTCCCCAGAATCTTCCGCGATGCACGCCGTGCTGATCACCAGCACGAGTCAGCCCCCACGACTGCCCGCCGCTGATCGTCGCCACGTTCGTCTTCAGCCCGCTCGGACACGAAGTAAGTGGCAGAAACAGCCCCGACACAAGATCCTCATCTTCTCTATCAACAGCCCTGCAAACGGGCCGTCCTTTGGGACCATGATCCCCACGACGAACCGCCGAATAATGCATGGATTCCGATTGTGTCGGTGACGAAGCCTGCGGCGAGGACGATGACGAGGGACGGCGCAGATGTAGGCTTCTTTGACGGTTCACCTTCGGGCCCGCTGGGCATCCAGGTGAGGGTGGGGCGGATGACGAAGGGCGGCGAAGACGACGAAGGCAGCGCGGCGAGGAGGACCCAGAGGGTGATGATGGGACTCCGTCGCCGGAGAGCGCAATGGCAAGGGCGAGGAGGATCCAGGCGGCCACGTCGTTGACGGCAGCAGCCGACATTGCCATGCGCCGGGTCAGTGGTGAGGAGCTTTAGCTCCGCCAAGATACGCGCCAAGACTGGAAAAGCTGTTATACAAAGTCGTGGTCGGCATTAATTTGTTTGAACCGAAATAACCGAACAGACTGCTATCAATACATGTCTAATACTCACATTTATATATAAATAATATTTTTTTATATATATCTGTATTAGTAAGGACTGAATTTTAGTTTGTGAAATAATTGACATGATGAGTTTGCTCTCTCTAATTTGAGATGTCTAGGTCCAACTCGAACCAAGAATACTGAACTGCACAGGACCAATTTGATTCGGTTTGGTTCGGTTTTGTATCTGGCTAGGTTCAGTTTAGTTTGGAGGAAAATAGTTAAAACTGACCGAACAGACCGTTTGCGCACCTGTAATAGAAAGAGAGACGCCCATAAAGACGAGGAAGGGGCCGGAGTGGACGCCCTTGTTAACAGTGGAGCGGAGGACGAGGGAGGTGCCAATGCCCATCACGAAGGGAAGGGAGATGCCCGCGACAGCTCCAGGCCCACCAGGAAGAGGAAGAAGAGGAGGCCGATGTTGGCGACTGTGTCGAGGACCGTCAGGCTGCGGGCTGGGAAGACTGTACTGAGGAATTTGGAGCTTCGGCCGATGGCTGATGGGCCTAGAAGTATTCCTCCCTGCAAGTAACCATGAATTAATTAGCTCACAGTCTGAGGGATGCCATCAGTTATCATGTACAAAATCACACTACATTCATGACATTTTCTCATCTCAAAAGTTTAACAAATTGGTATATGATTGTCGATTAAAGCGTGAGTACTCCCTAACATATGTGCACATCTATCATCAAATCGCAGAGTATGTTGTATTGATATAGCTTCAAAAATCATTAACATGCGTCTGTACAAACACTTGAGCTTGGATTGATGCTAAACAGACCCGTTTGTATTTCAGAATTCATGATTTTCAGAGCAAATGAAAGAAAATATTCGGGAAAAAAAAAGTTCTTACGAAAAATAAAAATAATCAAATCGTTATGATAATTAATCTCTAATTTTGCATTCAAATGATTTGTCCAGATGCCTAAAAAGCAAATTTCATTACAGAACTAACAAGTTTATTAATGAGATTAAAATATGCTAAACTAATTACAAAAAGGGCTAGGTTAACTAATATCTAACCAAGAGATAAAAAAAGAATATCTTTTCTCTTGATTACATAATGATTTAAAGATTATACATTATCAATTTGTGAAACATAAGATCTTGGATGAGTAACAGTACTAGTTAAAAGATTGTCTCATCTTGGAAAACTAGCTCCAAGCAACAACCATTGTATAGTTTTCCAAGAAATAACCAGACATAGGAAAAATTATCTGAAAATTGATGCACATTTTTATGTTTAATAGTGACACTAGTATTCACAAACTTTCTTCTAGTTTAATAATAGTCAAAATTGAGATTCTTTTAGCACTTTGCCAATCAGGAAAACTTTTTTGTTGGGTGTTTATTTAAAATTACATAATCTACAATTTCATGACAGTTGAAGAGTAATTTTAAGTGATCTTTTCTGATGACATGCATAGTACGTAGCATCACAATACTATTATTAGCACTTTACAAATATATATTATCTAGCTAGTATATATCAGAACCTTATTGAAATTCCATATTGAAAACAACAAGCAAAAGAAACAACATGAATCCTTGAATCATGGAGGAACATCAGTCGGTCAGATCCTATTTTTATCTAATTTGAACCAAAAAGGAATTTTGAGGGGAACTCAAACTTGTATAACAATATCTTTTTAAGGATTAATTGCACATAAACCCCTGCTTTGAAACTTATTATCCTTATAGTGTGATTTCGAGAATTTTTGCAGATATAGAGTAAAAAAAAACATGAAAATGACAATTGTACTACAAGTAGGGGTGGAAATGAATTGAATCGAATTGAATACCATGGTATTCATATTCATATTCATATTCAGTTAATTTGCACGAATTCAAAGTTAAAACTTGAATTCATGTCGAATAGGGAAAAGGTGTTCAACTTTGGATCGTTAATTAGAGGAATATTTGTTAAATGTTCACGAACATCTCAATAGCACGCTTGTTAAGTCACAAGATCCTCAACCATGAGGTTTTGACTTCAAACCATATTTTTGAAGTCTTTTCTTATTTATTTTCTATACATTTTACGTAGCTATTATTATAAAAATATTTTAATATAAGAATTATTATAGTGTATGTTTATAAACTATTAATATAATACTTATAAATAGCAATATTTATAAAACTATGCATATGTAAAAAATAATACAACATAATAATCTAGAAGTAGAAAAGCATAAATGAATATTTAATAATTAAACGAATCGAATTTACCTCTAATCAAACTCTATTCGTTTATGCGTCGAATACTAAAAAAAATATTTATTACTATTAAATGAACTACTGAATCAAATATGACCCAACATCTGGACGAATAATAACCATACTGTTTATTAATTATTGGGTTCGTTTCCACCAATGACTACAAGTTTCATTCTACGTACTAATTTTTAAAGAGAATCAGCCTATATTTATATCCTCTATTATTGAAACCAATAACCAACCATTTAACTCTGGTTATACACATACTTCTCATCAACATAAAATAACAGTGTAAAAAATTTATTGTTATCATGTTTAAACACTGGCCATTATGTAAATGGGTACCAGTTAATTATTATTTTTCTAGTCTATAGTGCTAGTCTCCTACTTATATTGAAGAGTATATATAAACAAAGCTTCACGAGGGTCCATATCTTTAATCACATGATTTGGTTATTGATGGTTGCATTCCTATTTAAGCTAGTGACAGCCTTGGTAGCAATCAAATCCATCTGTTGGGCATATATATAATACTAAAAAAAGTCAGCTGATCACTCTTTTCCCATGCATGAACAGACTTTAAGATCAAGTCCAAAAACTTTAGCAAAGTCAATTGGCATAAGATTGACTCCAAAGCTAGGAATCTAATATTATTTAATTTGTGCATATTTTATGACCTTAAGCTACATGCTTTTAAGGGTTATCTCTAAAGCTTAAACATTATAAAGAATGATTTCATATATTGAATAAATATACATGTAGACTTTGTGAAATTAATTGCGAGATTTCTATCCATTAATCTGTTATTTCTTTTAGAAAATATAATTAACATGGAACTCTAATTTTCCCACTTTCATTAGCATATATAGTAAAAAAAGGACAACAAAATATATGATTTGGTTCACTATAATTATGTACTAATTTGATTTCCTAAATTTCAATTTCATTACTCATGCAATGAATCATCTTCTTCATCCAAAACTAACCAGGGCATGTCCAATTAATAAAATCTTTTGATGGAGTTTTACAACATATATATTCCAAAAATAAACTCAGGGTTACCTACCTCGATCTCTAGTTAATTCATCAAACTATTTATATCTTTAAAAAAAAAACATTTTCTGGGGGGCATAAGTTATCTCCCTAATAACATTCAACATTATCCTTATAAATCTAAACAAATGAAAAAAAATTCAAAGAAAAGAGACTTTTTTTTTTTAATTTTTATTTTTCAGAACTCACGATGATTTCGGCAACAACACGAGGCTGACGAAGAGGCCGAAGAACGAAAGCAAGAAACCGAGTGAGGGCGACGACGATGACAATCTGCAGAATGATCAGCGGCACCCCTGCAGCGGACCCGTTCGACACGGCCTTCATCGCCTTCGGCACGACGAGCTCCGCATCGGCAGCCTAATAACAATTCAAGACTCCCTCTCTCTCTCTCTGAAGAAAAAGAATCTGCATGCACGCAATGTATCGAATTGAGATCGGAATGTATGGGATCAAGAAATTATTATATATAGAAGGAAAGAAATAAAGGTTAATTATTATTATCACGTACCTGTGGTTTTGTTTGATTAGGGTTCTTGATCGATGTCGTCGTTGTTGTTGTTGTTGTTGTTGAGCGTGAGAGGTTGGCGATGGGGGGATTGAGATTCTGCACGTATTACTCTCAACCATGGGATTTTTATAATCTGGTTCGCTCGGTTTCCTATGTTCACTAGGGTTCCGAGTATTTTGGGGTTAGGTCCTGGGTCCTGGGTCCTGGGAGCATGAAGTAATATAATATGGTTTTGTTTTCAGTTAGGAGTAACTAATTGATTAACAAACCCGTTCACAAGTTTTGAGCTTTTGGAATTTTAGCTCAAACCATTGGGAGTTATCATAGGGGTAATTTTCACAAAACCCCGTTGGCATTTTTTTAAGGATTTTTTTTAAAATAGACCGGTTTTGCTAAATATTTAGTAAAATCGACCTCTTTTTGGCCTACAGGCTAAAAAAATTCAATTTTAAAAACACCTCCCAGAAAACATACGGGACTAGTAGTCCCGTATGTTTTCAGTGTGCTAATCATGGAGTAAGTGCTTTCAAAAAACATACGGGACTAGTAGTCCCGTATGTTTACAGCTAGACGTTTTTTAAAATTGACATATTTTTCTCCTGTTGGCCAAAAAGAGGTCGATTTTGCTAAATATTTAGCAAAGTCGGTCTATTTTAAAAAAATTTCATTTTTTAAATAAACAAGTGGAAAATGCCCGTCAATTTCGAGCATTTTTTGTATAGGACCCTGAACTTTTTAATTCCGCTAAAATTGTTGAAGAATGGAATTCTCCAAAGTAACGCCATGGAAATACTCTCTCAGCGCTAAAAAAACGATCACTTTTCTAATCCTTTTTATTGTAATTTCCATTATTTTTAGTACTTAAGTGGTATTTTCATTTTTTTTCTCCCGTCATCTGCCTAGAACATGAGAAGTTAGATTCGATGGTGACATTTTTCTTTTTGGGGGGTGGGGGGAGCGGTCGGGTGTTAAACTGCATAATATTCAATAAATTTTAGTGAAATAAAACAAATTTAGGGAATTACGTGAAAACCCCATCAAAAACTAAGAAGGTTTTGTATCCATTGAAGCAGTTAAGGGACTTTATCTTAAAAGGGGTTAAACTTAATTAATGTTTTTAGTCAAAATTTTAAAGAAAACATTCAATTTAGTATATTTCTGAACCAAAAAAAATTCAGTGAGGATTCAATGGAAACATGTATTCCTATAAATATTTGGTGACGAATTAGGGGAATAAGCAAGTATGCAAGAGGTGAATATGGGCAAATTTTATCTGTAAGACTTGTGGATATTGTTACTATTTAATTCCAAATTAGCAATATATTTCTATTCTGCAGGCGCGCATCCGACTCTTGTTTACTCTATTCAGGTTACTATTTTGTGTTTTTTATGGAAACAGTAGAATTCTTTTATTAATTTTGTAAACTGAACAAAATACTATATGCCAAAAAATGGGACATTACCTCCAACTAGGTGATAGTTCAGAATTAAATTATGTCTTGCCCATTGTGTAAGATGATGAGCAACCTTGTTTTTAGTTGTAACCAAGTAAGCGAACAACGACATTCATGGAAATCCATAGTCATCTCAATTACAACTACAGCAATTGGGGAAAGTGGGTGAAATGATCTGTCATTGCTTTGAAGAAGTTCACGAGTTAGACTCTAAAATCACTTGGCGATGTTGCAATTAACTTGCTAACTTCATACCCTTACCTAGAGCCATCAACTCTGTCATCATGGAAAATTGGGACCTTCGCATCACCACATAGGCGTGCTATCAGAGTTTTCCTCTCATGGTCACGAATCACCACAGTGACCTCATCTCCTTCTTCAACACAACATATGTTGGGGAATTTTAGTCTCACTGCCTACTATGATTTACGCTACTTGGAAGCCAACCCACAATCAATAAGATATAAAATGACCACAATCAAGAAGAAAGAACATCGACATTTACGTTGTTCAGTCGACCAACTTCAACCTACGTTCACGGGCAACAATACGAGAAATCCACTATGTATCAGGGAGAACCACAAGAGGAACCACTCAACTCTCGTCTCTCAATCTCTCAACCTCACATACATAATCAACTTTCATATTATCTCCAAAGACTTCTCCTTACAATCTTTTGAACGGACAAAGGTTACGAAACCCTCTCTCAATGATGTAATCTTTTGCGCAGACAAAGACTACGAGACCCTCGCCTTTCGCACAATATTCTTGAATTAGGTTACGCCCTCTGCTAACCATATATTGTTTGCGTCGAAAATTGATGTATTCATTGCGGTATTCATTACAACTTTAGTCGTTACAATGAAAACAAAAAGATTGTCTTTTTATAAGACTTTTACACAATGAAAATAAAAGTTTACAACTCTCGTCAAAACAAACGCAGAGATCGTTTATCGGTCTTCTGCTTGCGTGGGTTCTTTGCCTGTGCCGGGGTTTATCCGTGGACCGCCTTAGATCTGGATCCGGTTGATGGAAAATTCGGCAGAGCTTCGCCTTCGCCGAGGAAGTATTTGATTTGAAGCGCTGAGATCGACCAAGCGAAATCAGGGCTCTTCTCGAGATTAAGACCAAGCCTAATCTCAAGGGACGGGAACGGGCGTCGGATCTCTCGAACTCTCCTTTTTTATGCCGAAGAACTCGCCAATATCTGTCAACCCTCGCTGAAATTCGTGCTCCTTTGACTCCACATCCGGCAGCACCTCCTCGTCTTGATAATCAATCGCCCCCGCTGAAAGGAGGCCCTATGCTTGTATTTATAGGGCTTCGGGAGCGGTTATTTGGATGAGAACAAGTGATTTGGCCTTATCTTTAGTCAATAACAGCCTAACCACGTTTGTAGATGATATCAAGTCAGTTTGGATGCTCAGGAACTGAAAAATCTCGAGAAACGCGGGTCGGCCTTGGCCGACCTGCCAAAACGCGGGTCGGCCTTGGCCGACCCGCCGACATGCGGGTCGGCTTCGGCCGACCCGCGCCTCCGCGGGTCGGTTTGGTCCGTACCGCGCGGTGCGTTTTTGGGCTTCGCTGACTTCTTGTGTTTTACGACTTTTCCGACCTTCCGGGACTTGTAGTTTCTCCCGTTTTATTTACTCATCCGTCGTGTTGACTTGTATGCTCCACGCGAGTTGATTAATGTACGTTGATTGACGCCATCGTGAACTGATTGACGCGCGCACTGATTGACATGCACGAGCTGAATGATGCGTGCGTGTTAGCTGACTGTTGGGCGCGTTTGTACGCTTTGAGTTGATTAACGCGTGCGGTCCACTTGGCGTTTTCCATTGTGGTGGTTCGTTGTCGTGTCATCAACAGTTTGCTGATTCGCTTCATGCGCTTGTCGGCGTTGGATAATCCTCTTTGATTCGGATAACGATGTTCATCACCTTCTCTTTGTCTTGAGCTGTGTGCGGGCACCCATAGGCATTTTTAGACGCCTACATATATTACAAGAATATTTTCTTTCTCTCATCTGCTTGGTTTTTTCCTCCAACAATAGAAGAATATATATAGGAAAATCAAAACTCTATCTCTAGCCTAACTTCCTAACTAGAATAGGATTCAAACTCCTAATCATGATGAGACTCAATTTCTTAATCATGATAGATCTTTAACCCTATCTAATTTTCATGAAGTTATACAAAGAACCAAAGACACAATTCTAACAATCTCCATATTGGATTTGATTCCCAAGCCACCTCGAAGATCTACCATTGCCGTCTTGAAACTTTACCTCTCCTGCTATTGTCTTCTATTCCTTTCGCACTTCAAATCAAAACACTTGCACTCCAACTGGATCCCCCTATGACCCTCACTTTCATTTACCTCACTGTGGCGCCTCCACCTCTCTTGTGCGCACCACGAGATCTTCGTCGTCTTTGACATTACAAGTAAACCAACAATGATTCTTCTCTCAAACTAAACTTGACAGTAGCCTTTTTTCTCTTCATCTTGGTTTTTGTAACATCGCCGATCTTCACTTTGTACGACGCCTATCTTGCGAACACGCTCCCGGATCCATCATCGTCACTCTAATACCACTGTTGGGGAATTTTAGTCTCCCCGCCTACTACGATTTGCGCAACTTGAAAGTCAACCAATAATCAATAAGATATAAAATAATCACAATTAAGAAGAAAAAACACTGAGATTTACATGGTTCAGTCGACCAACTTTGACCTACGTCCACGGACAACAATACGAGAAATCCACTATATATCAGGGAGAACTACAAGAGGAACCACTCAACTCTCATCTCTCAATCTCTCAACCTCACATACATAATCAACTTTCATATTATCTCCAAAGCCCTCTCCTTACAATCTTTTGAACATACAAAAAGACTGTGAAACCCTCTCTTAATGATGTAATCTTTTGCACGGACAAAGCCTACGATACCCTCACCTCTCGCATAATATTCTTGAATTAGGTTACACCCTCTGCTAAACCTAGATTATGAGAATATGTGCTCTCTCTTATCTGCTTGGTTTTTCCTCTAACAATAGAAGAACATATATAGGGAAACTAAAACCCTATCTTTAGCCTAACTTCTTAACTAAAATAAGATTCGAACTCCTAATCATGATGAGACTCAATCTCCTAATCATAATAGATCTCTAACACTATCTAATTTTCATAAAGTTATACAAAAAATCAAAGACACAATTCTAACAATCTCCACCTTGGATTTATTTCCCAAGCCATCTCGAAGATCTACCATTGTCGTCTTGAAAATTTACCTCTCCTGTTATTGTCTTCTATTCCTTTCGCACTTCAAATCAAAGCACCTGCACTTTAACTGGATC